ATCTCGGGCCCTGTCTTCTACTCTCCTCTCCCTCAGCTTCCTATCTCGGGCCCTGTCTTCTACTCTCCTCTCCCTCAGCTTCCTATATCGGGCTCTTCCCCTTTCTTCCATCGCCTCACTGTTCTTTACCTTCTTCGTCTTTTCTATCTCCATTTTTTTCTCCCTTTACAATCCTGGGCTCTCCTTTTCGCACCCAACCCCTCCTTCTTACCAGCCCCCCTGTCCCTGTGGCCCCACCGTGCGGCACACGCTTGCAGCTTTTATCAGCGGTCACCCACCAATGACGTCACGTCTGATGACGTCATCTATTACACACACCGCGTTCTCGTAAATACATGTACATATATGTGATCGTGGTGCCCCCTCGCGGTGCCCCCCCTGGCTTCTAGATCGCCTAGCTTTGTCGTATAGCAACTGTCCCATGGTGAGAATGCCGCTTTTACTGTTGCATGTACGCGTGTTGTGTTGCGTGCTGTGTGTAGCATTAGCTCGATCGTCTACTCTACCCCATAGTATTCCGTGTAGTATGTAACGTGCCGTCCGTTAACCACGTAGTTTTAACAGTTTTGAATGTACGGTTAGTTCTCTGCATGTATTTGAGCGTCGGCCGTGCATTGACGGCGCGATGCAACAATAGATGTAATACAATCATACAGTAACGTGTGTAAAGTATTATTATATACATCCATACATATGTGCACACATTGGTAACGTGACGTACCGTGATATTGTTGTTGGTATTGTAGTATCAGTGGCGCGAAGCCGCCTGTGTAACGTGTTAACGTGTTAAATTATTGTTACATTGTAACACACAGAATATATTATATATATACATGTGTGTGAAGGGTGTCGTATCGAATCGTGCAGCATGTGTATGAATAATCGTGATATATCGTATGCTATCATGTCGTAATCCCCTGATCGGAACCTCGTTGAATTGCATTGCACGTACGAACATGGCGTGTGCGTAAAATATTACACTATATAGTGTATCGTTACACTGTATACAGACATAGTCATGTTACACTGCCTTACACCACACCAGCCTACGTCATGCCCTCTCATGTCACACCATACTACATCATGTTCTATCATGTCACATCATGCTACATCATGTCACACCATTCTACATCATGTCCCACCATGCTACACCATGCTACATCATGCTACATCATGTCACACCATGCTACATCATGTCCCATCATGCTACACCATGCTACATCATGTCACACCATGTCACACCATTCTA